GAGGACCGTAAATGATGACAGCGTTTGTTGAGAACCTGTAAAGCACAAGGTCCCTTACACATGTGCTCTCGCTGGACTGAATCATGACTGTTTATTTCCATTCTATAGATGAGGAAATACGAGCCGAGGGGGGGGGTAACTTGTTACGCAGAAGGATTGTTCAAACTTCAGATTGCAACCTGTTTGAAATAATTTTGTGGTTTGCAACCCACATTCACAGAGTAGTATGGGCCCAGGTGGTGGCACAGTGTGCACCTGTACCAGAAACCTAAGCCAGCTGGGACTGGAGGTGGGTTAGGGTGTGGGGGCCCTGATGGGGATGTCTCTCTCAGAAACAGAAAGAAACTCCAAAATAAAAAAAGAACGAACGAACGAGAAAGAAGTACTCTATTTTATTATACATTATACTCTCCTTTTTTAAAAAATTTTTATTTCATGAGAGACAGACAGAAACCCCCGAAAGGGTCTTCATACCAAAATATGCTCTATTCTTAGCCTGCTCAGGTCACTGGCACATGCGTGTGTGTGCATGCACACGTGTGTGCATGCACCTGATGTGCTCAAGGGGCGCCCGACACAAACCTAGGACTTTTCCCATGCTGGTACAGTTGCATTATCACTGCACCACTACCTGGCCCCGCATACTGAATTCTTGTACTGAAAACCCACATTACACCCCACAGATATATACAATTATTATAGCAATTAAAATATACATTTAAAAAAGAATAGAAGAAAATGAGTGTACCTATAGAACAAGGAAAAGTCTTTATTTCATGAAACATATATGCATTGGTCTGTACCAGTGTCTTTCAAATGGAGTAAAGATCCTTGTCATGATTCAGGTTTTAAAGATATTGACTCTGGGGACCAGCAGTTAGCGTAATGGCTATGTCACTGGACTTCCATGTAGTCAACCATGGTTCAAGTCCCAGACCTGGTGGCTTAAACTCACGCCAGGCATGTGTGCATGTGTGCCCAAGATCCCAAGAGAAGGGATTGTGGTGTGGCCATCCTGACGGGGGGTGATTTCTCTCTTTTTGTCTCCCTGTCTCTGTCTTCCTAGTGAGCGCATGCACCCTATAGCAAAAACCTCTCCAAAAAAGTAAAAATAAAAACAAAGATACCAACTCAAAGTCTGAAAAGGCGGCCAGTGGAGCCAGCAGGTAGTGTGGTAGTTAAGGGCAATGGACTTCCATATGGCCAACTGCAGTTTGATTCCTGGACCTGGTGACTTGCTTTCTCACTTTCTCGCCCTCTCTCTCTCTCACTCTATTACTCTCTGGTCAAATTAAAATAAATAAATAAAGCTAAATAAAATAATTCTTAAAAAAAAAAAAAAAAAAAGGCAACTGAGGTCCAACAGATGGTGTAGCAGTTACATTGCTGAACTCCCACATGACCAGCTACAGTTCAAGTCCTGGACTCAATGGCTTGAAAATTAGGCCAGGTGCCAATGCATGCATGCCCAGAATCCTGAGAGGAGAATGGAGGAGGAGGGATTGCAGCATGGCCATCCCCCCTGAGGGGCAATTTCCAACTTGCCCTTTCAGTGTCTCTGTCTCCTTCTCTGGCAAGGGGCATACACCCTAGGGTAAAAACCTCTATATAAAAAAAAAAGGCATTTGGGCCAGTTTCACTGCATAGTAGTGATAACTCTGCTCAAGAGAAGCTGGATCCCACTTGGTGACCAAGATTTGAATCCCTGGCCCAGTCAGCCTGGAATATGCCAAGCACTTGTGTGAGTGCTCAGGATCGAGCAGGCTGGAGTGCTGGACAAGGGGAATCATGGTGTGACTAGATCCTGTGGAGGTGCTTGTCTCTCCCTCCCACATGTGCGTGTACACATGCTCTATCATGAAGAAAAACTAAATTTTTTTTTATAGAGATTTTTGGTATAGGGCACATGTGCTTACCAGAAAGACAGAAAGCAGGAACACACACACACCCCCGCCTGGTGGGGGAGGGATGACCATGCCACAGTCCCTTCTCCATTGTTCTCTTGGAATTTTAGGCATACACGCACATGCACCTGGCCACACGTTTCAGGCCGCCAGGTCCAGGACTTGAACTGCTGTCGGCTACACGGGAGTCTTGCAACATAACCATTATGCCATCTACTGGTCCTGAAAAAACACTTTTCTTTTCGGAGAGGTTTTTGCTATAGGGTGCATGCACTTGCCAGAAAGACAGAGAGAGACAGAAAGTGAGAAATCACCCCCCTCATGGGGGATGGCCACACCGCAGTCCCTTCTCCATTCT